TGAACTAGCAGTCAGCTGAAGTGGCCTGCAGTACTGCACTCTACCCACTGCGCCACCTCGGCTCTTTAACCATGTTATTGTAAATTTGGTACTGAGGAGTCAATAAGAAATGCCTGCATCTACCACTGTCCATCTTTTAACTGTATTGTTTAAACTCTTCAGAGTGTTGCTGCATCCAACGGTCACTGATTGGAATGTTGACTTTGTTGCTAGGCAACTAACCTAACGGAACCTCTCTTCTGCTCTCCATTCTGCTGGGCCATGACAAACCAACACCTAAGAGAAATTTCCTGACAGTTAGAACAATTAATCAGTGGAGCATCTTGCCTCCAGAATTTGTGAATGCCCCAACACTGGAAGTCTTTAAGAAGATGTTGGATAGCCATTTGTCTGAAACGGTATAGGGTTTCCTGCCTAGGCAGGGGGTGGACTAGAAGACCTCCAAGGTCCCTTCCAACTCTGCTATTGTATTGTATAGATCCTCAACATGCTGCATCAAATCCAGAGTGATTCTTGACCTGACAAAACTTACATACTTACCTGTGCTTTACAGTTTGCTTGCTTCTCTTTGGAGATAACCCCACTGTTCTCCTGCTTTTAACTTTACGGTGGTCCATCTTCATTTCTCTGGCAGGTGCGTACGGATAACGGACACTGGGCTCAGCTACTTGTCCACCATGTCCTCGCTTAGGAACTTATATCTCCGCTGGTGCTGCCAGGTAGGTCAAAGGGAGCTGGGATTCTCTCCTTGTGAGCCTCATCCAGGATAAGACTTGCAATTTGTATGGGAGAATTGGGGACAAAATTTACAAAACTCCGCATTGGCAGCAGGAAGGGCATCTGGCCAGTAATCACTCTGCTCCATTCAGTTGCCCTGACTCCAACCCGCAAGGGATTGTGGAGTTGTCAAAAGAAGATGATGATGGGGGACAAAGTTTGATTTTGTATCTGGAAGTATCTGGAAGCTTCGGCTGCTTCAAAATGTGGCTGCCCGCAAAAGGGTTGTGCAAATCTAGATTTGCAGATGTGTCACCTCTTTTGAAGATGCTGCGTTGGTTTATAGTTTGCTTTCTGATCCAACTGAAAGTGATGCTTGTCGCCTTGAAACGCCAACAAGACCTGGGACCAAATTGTTTGAAGGACCATCATTTCCCAGTCGTGTCTATCAGCGGTTCAGTCGACAATTACCCATATATTTATATTTTTTCCAGAAATAAATAAATGTGTTTGGTGTCTCACAATCCTGTCTTCTCCTCCCTCGTAGGTCCAAGATTTTGGCTTGAAACATCTGTTGGGAATGAGAAGCTTACGTCTCCTGTCACTTGCCGGTGAGCATTGGATTGGGGTAGATCCTTTCAGATCCATTGAGACATGGGTCTGGAAGAAAGTTTTGCGGGGACCTCAGGGCCTGAATCCTAAATCCCCAAATCACCCAACTTCCTTTGATCTTGGACTAGCTTGTGGTATGCATCCACTCCAGTGGTGGATTCCAGATCCCGTTCCAACCGGTACGGTTGAAACGGGCCCGGTGGCGTCCACATGCATCTTAGCGCCTCCACAAGGCCCCGTGATGCTCCAGCTGCTCAGCGGAGCATTGCACAGGCGCTGTACGTGCCGTGCGAGTGCACGGAAGCGCCAAAAACTTAAAAGACCGGTAAGGAACTCGGGCAGGCGGGTGGGCCCGGGAAGGCTCCGGTACGCCCATACCAGGGCATACCACCTGCAACCCACCACTGATCCACTCACCCGTACAGGAGTGGGATTCAAAAATTTTAGCAAGCGGTTCTCTGCCCAGTTGCTTTATGGGCGTGGCCATGCTGGGTGTGGCCTACTCAGCCTCCTGCACCACAGCGGGGGAAGCATTTTCACCCTACCCAGGCTCCAGAGGTTTTCTTTGAGCCTCCTGCAGGATGACAATGGCCTTCCATGGACTCTAGAGGAGGCCGAAAAAGGGCTTGTTATCGGACTTCTGGAACTTCCAGGAGCCCCGTTTTTTGCCCTCTCAGAGTCTCTGCACAGGCCCTGCACTTACCTGCATCCCAAAAAGGCTGCGTAGAGACTCCTGGGAGAGGAGGGGAGGGATGGGCGTGGCCAGCCAATCCTTTCAACTACCGGTTTGGTGAACCGGATGTAAAATTAGCATTGGGTTTGCTAGAACTGGTCCGAAACGGCTGAATCCCACCCTGGTGGTGCATACCGGGCTCAGATGTACAAACTCAAACGGATACAGGCAGGCATACATAGGTGCATGTGCATATGCAGATGTGAAGAAGTATACGCACAGATACATCTGCATGCACTGAAAGGGAAACCCACCCACCCCATACGCTCAAAAGGGCCAATCAGAAATAGTTAAACATTCGCAGAATGGAAGAACCCCCCCCCTTTTTTTTTCCTTTCCAAGCAACCTCTGATTTTAGTCTTTCCAGCTGAGATATTCTTTCTTATTCTCCCTCTTCTCGGAGCTTGTTTCTTTTCTTGCCGACATTTGCATTGATGCTGCTACCTAGTTGGGTAATGAAATGTCTTCATAAAAAAAAAAAAGCAAGCTGAGCAAGCACAGTCTTCCTTCTCATCCCCCTCCTCCTTCACCTTCCCTCTCCTCCTCCTCTTTCTCCTCCTCCCCTCCTCCTCCTTCCCTCTTCCACTCCACAAAGCCCACTCCCTTCTAGAAGGGATGTTATCCAATTGGGTAATGAAACATCTGCAAGAAAACAAGCAAGTTCAGAGAGCACAGACCTCCCCTTCCTCCTTTGCCTCCTCCTTCCCTCTCCTCTTCCTCTTCCTCCTCCTTTCCCCCTCCTCCTCTCCTCCTCCTTCCCCCCTCCTCTTCTCCTCCTCCTTCCCCTTCTTCTCCTTCTTCCACTCCACAAAGCCCACTCCCTTCTAGCATTGATGGTGCTACCCAATTGGGTAATGAAACATCCGCAAGAAAACAAGCAAGCCCAGGGAACTCCAAAGACCCCACAGTCCTCCTCTTCCTCCCCCTCTGCCCCAAATTCCACTCCCTCCTAACACTGATGATGTACCCTAGCTAGGTAATGAAATGTCTGCAAGAAAGCAAACAAGCTCAGAGGGCATCATGGACCCCAAAGCCCTCCCCCTCTTTCCCCACCTTCTCCCTCTTCCACTCCACAAAGCCCACTCCCTTCTGGCATTGATGATGCTACTCAATTGGGTAATGAAACATCTGCAAGAAAACAAGCAAGCTCAGAGAGGGCAGTTCTCCTCCCCCCCCCCTTCCATTCCATAAAAGGGACTCCCTTCTAGCACTGATGATGTTACGTAGATGGGTCTCGAGACGTCTGCGAGAAAACCCTCCAAACTCAGAGAGCGCCAAGGACCCCCTCCTTCCAACCCCCCCGAGCTGCGAATGTTCTCCATTATTAGTTCTTTCTTATGTTCTGATTTTCACTTTTACCAGGCTGCCCTCTGCTGACCACCACTGGACTTTCAGGCCTAGCTCAGCTGCAGGATTTGGAAGAACTGGAGCTGACCAACTGCCCAGGGGCGACTCCAGAGCTCTTTAAGTACTTTTCCCAGCACCTGCCTAGCTGCATGGTGATTGAGTAAGCCACTCGCTAGAAAGATCTGGCCAAATCCTGGAGCCGTCTCCTCCAATCCTAACTCAGCACTGACCAACCATCCAGCGTCAAGGTTTTTCTTTCTTTCTTCGTCATTGATATATAACTGTATACGGAGATATATAGATATATATGGATGATTTCTTTCCAGAAGAGGGGGGGGGTTTGTTGTGACTTGAAAAATCACACGCTCACCCATGTACACAACTCAAAACGGGGGGGAAAAAACGGTGCGACGAACGCACACGAACAATTGAGAAAAGAGTTGGTCGTTGGGCGGATCGGCAGTGGCTCGAACACAAAGTGGGAGAATCGACTCTCGAATTTGTAAATCCTGACGTCGCCATCATCTCTCATCTTCCTCGTTGTGAGCTGTTTGGGAAATCTTACCTTTTTGGGGGTAAAGCAAAACAAAAACCAAGAATAATGGAAACCCTGCAACGAAACTCCTAGAGCGAAATCAAATACGAAAGGGATGTAGGTGAAACCAGCTAGGAAAATCCCAACGGCCGATTAGCCCTTGTTGGCGAATAAGCCAATCTCAGTGCTGAATGAAAAAGGATTTGTGCCCGTCCGGGCTTTTCATGCCATGGGGCAGAGAGAGAGAGAGTGGTTTGCCTATGAGACTACCCGGTCTGGGTGGTGTAAGGATCATAGGGGTCAGTCCTTGCGAAAGGCCTTCGAGGTGTGGAGGTTGGACGGTTGAAACCTGCCCGCGAAAGGCAGGCGTCGTTTACATTGGAGGTTGGGAAGTTGAAAACATGTCGTCGAGGCCTCCGGAGATATTCCTTGGATGGGATGGAGCATCAATGGTGGTGAAATGGAGCCGCTTCTGAATTCCAAGCATGGGAACCTGCAGAAGTGAAAGGACTCTTGTTTGAAGGGTGGGGAGAGAGAGGAGGAGGAGGAGGAAGAAGAAGAAGAAGAATATTGACCAAGGCTGTGAGAGAAATGGTCCCGGAAATTCTTGAAGCTCTGGATTTTGGGGAGCTCCTGATTCTTGGACATTCCAGAAAGTGGAGCAAAGCTAGCGAGTAAGGAGATCCATTGGAGAAACTGACCTAAACTGTCCCAGCTGACTCGAAGCTCATACAACACATGATCCCATCTGGTGGGTCCCATCTGCCTCCTTTCCTTTGTTTTCTTCTTTCCCTCTTTCTCTCTCCCTCCCTCTCTCTCTCTCTCTCTTTCAATTTCATTTTGACTCTCTTGATTTTGCAAATGAATAAGGAGGGGTTTCTCCTCTTCTCTCTCTCTCTCTCTCTCCCTCTCTCTCTCCCTCCCTCCCTCCCTCCCTCCCTCCCTCTTTTTGGAGCAAAACCACAGCCTTTGCATGTTGCCTTGCTTTGCGTCTTGTAATAAGGTAGAGTCTGAATACTGCTTTTGGGCTGTGGGTGGCAGTTTTTTTGATCCTGGCTTGGCTCGTCTGTTCTGGTGTTTTTTAAAAAAAAAATAGAAGAAGCTGATGATGAAGAAGAAGCTGATGTGGCTTGTTCTACTATCCTTGTTCCATTTCTCCAAACCACACAGATCACCTAGCTGTCCATCCCGGTCTTCTTCAAGAGGGGTGAAAAACATCTCCTTTTCTTCCTACCAACCCCAGTTCCACCTTTCATCCTGGGAGACACCCCCTCCCTCTCCCCATCAATCACCAGATCCTCTTTCCTTCCTGACTTCACCCCATCAAACCTGTACTTCTTGGCTCTCTTCCAAGCCAACAGATGCTGACCAGATGTTTGGTGATGCGTGGCTTTTGCCCCATCCTTTTTTTAGAAGCCATTTCCAAGCCCCCCCCCCCCTGGAAGAATAAAGGGGGGGGCTAAGGGCACCTCCAGCCTCCAGGCATTCATCCTTCAGACCCAGAGATCTGTTCTGGGGCAGAATCATGCACTGGAAGAAAAAAATATATTGGGAGAGCTCCAGGCTCTTTAAGCCATGGGTTCAAGTTGCATCTCCAGCCTTGGGAATCTCTCTCTCGAATGGCTCGGCAGGTAAAACCACCCCTTCTGTGCTTTCAAAGAGGTGCTGGGCTCTTCACGCAACCCCAAGTAGAGTGCCTGTGTAATTTTGGTTCATCTTGGTTGACTTCTTTGGAGAGAGAGAGAACCCATTTCCAAGGGTGGGGGGTATGTCCACAGTAGAGAACCTCTTCTCCACCGTTCCTATCTCCAAGAAGCTATTGGGATGGGCTCTGGGTGCTTTCCGCTCTCCAAAGTTGGTAGGATGAAAACCATATCTCTATTTTTGCTCCCCCTCTTACTGCATGGGGCAAACCATGGAAGCAATGCATCCCCTTCCCCCAAGATCCAGCTCTTTGCATGCTAATATACCTAGAAAGCAGCAGGCATGGAAGTTAATACTGATACTTCCATGTCAAATGCTTCCGTGGCGAAAGGATTTGGCGGTGACATCTCCATTTCTTTGTGGGGGGGCGGGATTCCCAGGAGGCTCCTTTCGTCTCCCCACAAAGTTGCCCAATGAAGTGGTGCCCATTTATCTACTTGCCCGCTTTTGGAGCTGCTGGGTTGGTGGGAGCCGGAGTATGTGACGGGTGCTCGACCCACTCTGAGGCAGCAACGGGTCTCGAACGTTGAGGCCGCCGATCGTCAGCCCGGCATTCTAACCTCGGTAGAAGCAGAGGCAGGGTCTCCTGCTTGGGCAGGGGGGGGGTTGGACTAGATGACCTGCAAGGTCCTTTCCAACTCTGTTATCTGTTAATGCACCTCGCGCTTCTGGCATGGTGGTTGAGCCGATGGAAGGCATGACTCAGTGGAACTTAGTCTGGTAAAACAGAAAGCAGGGAAGATTGTCCTGAAGGTGGGCTTCAAACAATATGGCGTTGAACGAATCGGGACTACCCTTGTGGTCCGAGCTCATTTCTTTTCAGGACCCACCAAAAGGGCAGCTGAGGGAACCTTGCCATAGACTATTGCATGTTGTTCTATCTTCTCTGGAGGAAGGGGAGGGGGCTATCCAGGCAGGCAGGCAAGCTGGGGATGATGGAACGGGTAGTTCAACACATCTGGAGATGCCCAGGTAGGGAAAATTGCTTTTGTGGTTTTTTTCCCCCACCGGATTGTCTCCCTTAGATTGTGGTTGCGAAGCAGCCGTTTTGCCAGGAGTCTGGCCTTGAGCAAAGACTGGCCTAGTTGATGAGACAGCTTTGAGTTCATGAGTGCCTTTGGTGGCCGCCTCGTTTTTCTTATAGATTTAAATAAAGCCAAATAATAATAATAATAATAGTAATATACACCCAGCAAACTACCGTAGTCCTTCAGTTCTGATCTTGGAGCAAAAGAGAGAAGTTATACCATAAAGCCTGGCCTGATTCTACCACCTCTTGAGCTCTTCCAGCAGTTGGGTGATGCCCTCTCTGTATGCCAGCAGACTTCAACTACTGTATACCACCCTGTGGCTTCGGAGTCTTCCCAGCACGGGCATCTTACCTGGGGTAAGATCATCTGTGCCTGGAATTTTGGAGCCAGCCATATAGTTTTGCCAAAACTGTAGGCTGATTATACCACTCACACCATTTTAATTCTTTCCCCCAGGCGGTCAATCTCGTTTTCTGGGAAGCAAAAAAAAAATTTGCATTGATCAGATCAGGTAGATGAACGAGATAAAGGTAAATCCTCCAGTTGCAGCCACAGTCAAGCCCAAAATGTACGTGGTGCAGCGAAAAATGTGTTGCGTGAGATTTCACCCCACTTACGAGCTTTCTTGCAACCATTGTTAAGTGAATCGCCGCAGTTAAGTGAGGAGCACGGCTGTTAAGTGAAGCTGGTTTCCCCATAGCTTGTCAGGAGGTCACAAAGCAACGGCCGGGACAGTGCAACCGTCATAAATATGAGTCAATTGCTAAGCGGCTGAATTTTGATGACGTCACCCCAGGGGATGCGGCAACGTTCGTAAGTGTGAAAAACGGTCGTAAGTCACTTTTTTCAGTGCCCTGAAATGGACGGTTTTAAGTCGAGGATTACCTGTAATACAGCCAGGTAACAGACACCTTTGGACCTGTGGTTGATTTCTTCCGCTCAGGTCAGCAAGCTGCCTCAACCTTTTGCAGGCGGCTTTCAAAATTCAAAAGAAAAATGGTTTCGCTGCATATTTGGGAAAAAAAAACAACCTCAAAAACCCTTTGCTGAATTCCCCTCCAGAAATTATCATAGTTTGGAGAACACTCAGACCGATATTTCCCCCCCCCCCAAGGCTGTATACTTTTTATTATCAAAATAGTCGAGGTTATGGTTTTATTCAGGGGTGGAATCCTACCGGTTTAACACGGTGATCGCAGAGTTTTAACAAAACTTCCCTTCCACGTTACTTCTGGGGAGTAACGCTGTTGAGGTACGGCAATCCGATCTGCCGCGCGAATCAGCTGAGAGGATATAGGTCAGTAAAGTGCAAGGGAGGGCCCACCTGATCATCGGAGAGAACCGGTTCGTTCCCAACTGATTGTCAGAGATACCGGTTCGCCGGAATCTGTCCGAACTGGCTGAATCTCACCCCTGGTTTTATTGTTTTATGTAGGATTGAGGCTGAGAAATAGTTACAGTACAGTACAGTAATTCAAAACCAAGGCTGGCCGGTGTCCCACCGATTTGTGATTCAAATTAAACCCGAGGTGAACCAAAATGTTATCATCAGCTGTAAAGGAAAAAAATAATCAGAATTCATTCATTCGTGCATTCGTGCATTCCTTTATTTTATTGATTGATTGATTGATTTGTTTATTTGTTTGTTTATTTGTTTATTTATTTATTTATTTATTTATTTATTTAATATCCATGAAAGAGGGACTCTTTCGTCTACTGGGAATTTGGCTTAAAGGGAAGGAATTCCCATGGGTTTCAGATTTCCTATTAGAAAAGGTGTTTAAAAAAAAATACAGGCTCAGAAGTAGAAACTTATAATTAGAGTGCAGTTAATAACAGAGTAAAAGGAGATTGGCGCCACTGATGTGGTATAATTTCAAGAGCAGATTGACTCCGATCTAGAT